GTTGTTTGGAGCGCTCTGCAGGGCATGTATGTGAAGTTTGGGTTAGGGTTAGGGTTAGGGTAGGGTTACAAGGTGGACCCAGCCAAAAGTTGGGTAGGGATAGGTTACAAGGTGGACCCAGCCAAAAGTTGGGTAGGGATAGGTAGTGTACCTTGTTCTTTACCTATTTCTGAGCATATTCTTTGCTGGATCCCTTATCAGTTGTCTTACTGGTTGCGGCGCTACGGTCGCTCAAAGTAAGTCCGCTTTTGGGGTCGATGACCAAAAATGTCACAATACAGCCTTGTGCCGCTAATGAACGTTGTTCATAACAATGAGATTGAGATGTACAAGACGTTTCAAGAAGATCGAACGGATAGCCATGGAGAAAAAGCAAAAGTTGCATTTCGGGGGGTCGACCTAAGGGGGGACCCTTACCCAGGTCCGACCCTGACCCCCTCAGATCTTCTTGCACTCTTAATGAAAGTTGTTAGGGTTAGGGTTTACAAGGGTATCCCCAAAACAAACAGGGTAGGGGTGCTTATTGAAAGTTGTTCATATGCCATTTGTGAGTACTTTTGATCAGTCACCCCTACTCAGTTGTCTTGGTGGTTGCGGAGCAGTGGTCGCTTGAAAAAGGTGCGTTTTGGGGGTTGAACGCCAAAAAGTTGGGAATTTCGACTTGGTCCCTTTGTGCTGGCGGTGCGGCACGGCGGTGAAAGTGAGTGAGGAGATGCTGATGGTTCGAAAGGAGGAAAAGGAAGGCACGGCGCGCAGGGAAAAAGGACGCGCGCGGCAGGCTCGGAGCCGAAGCCGCGCGACATCCCCCCCTCCCCGAGCTGAGCGACTCTTTCTACAATACAGGAAGTGGAGCCTGAGAAGGTTGTGGAGAGTGGTGTTGCGAAATGCGCGGCGGTGCGGTATCGTGGACTGTGCTTGGGAATGCGGTATTGGGAACGGAGCGTGGAACTGCGGGACGGATGTGAGACTGGACGGAAACGAGGCGGTATGGAACGAGGAGCATCGGTCTAGTTGGACAGGTGACGCAGACGCGATATGGCGTCAACGTTCCCGTGAGCTTTGCCGGCTCGATGGACGAACGATAGCGAGTCGAGGAAGGGCATGATGTACGTGCGCAGCCTCTCGATGCGCGGTGTGAAAAGGCGACGGGAGCGCGAGGAGGCGCGCAGGACCGCGCCGAGGGGTGCGTGATCGGTTACGACGATGATGCTGGGTGCGCCCTCGAGGTAATGGCGGAGTTGGTGGAGGGCCCAGACGAGGCAGGACATCTCCAGCTCGAGGCCGAGCAGCTTCGCTTCGGAGGGAGAGGTCGGGGTCGAGATGAAGGCGATGGGTCTCTCGGTCGTGGATGGCCTTTCGCGAGGTTCGGTGTGCGAGCCGTCCGGGTCGCCGTCGTCGGCGTCTGGGGTTGCGCCGGCGTCGGCGATGTGCGCTGTGGCCGTTCGTCGCGTCCGACGGC